GATAGACCATGACCATTCTTCGTTGTTGGCTAAATTAACTAGTAATAAATTTAGGTCTTTATCACTGACATAGGCAGTATTAGTAGTCACTATAGAAACGATTACACTATAAGTAATGACTTGTATGAGTTCAAAAGTTGGGATATCTTCTTGTTTCTTACACTGTTATTGATTAATGTCGCTTGAAGAACGAGTTTCACCTCTGAACCCAAGTTCGGATAAACATCCACACCCACACCCACACCCACACCCTCTTTTTGATACATGCTTGAATAACATTCATCGATAGATCATCCAAAGCTTCATCGACCACATTTTCTAGTTCACATTGTGATTTTGGATTCTTATTTTTAATTTTCTGTTTGATAATGTTCCAGATCAGCTCAATAGCATTAAAATCAGGACTGTAACCCGGTCATTCACATAATTCAATATTATATCGATCACACTATTGTTGGAATTGAGGACTTCTGTGCCATTTAACTCCATCAGAAATATAGAAAAATCCATTCAATTTCCGTATATTTCCGGATAAAACTTCTTTAACTGTAGCACAATATGTATCAGTATCAGCATTTAACCAGCTTGAGGGTGTGGGTGTGGGTGTGGGTGTGGGTGTGGGTGGGGTGTGGGTGTTGCTCTGTTCTTCAGTACTACTCACACCCACACCCACACCCCAATTAACATAAGTTTTACTTTGTAGATTGTAGAGCTTTTCACACTGCATCTTGTGATGCATTTTGTTTGTTTTAAATAAAAGATATCAGATGACAAAAAGATGAAAGAAGAAAAAATGAATTCATCTTATACCAAAAAATATCGTTTTCGCATGGTCGCAAATTGGTCGCTCAAATTTTTGTTCATTTTGAAAACAAAAATTACAACTATAAAATAACCTGTCTTATGTAAATTGTAGAGCTTTTCATGCTGCATCTTGTGATGTATTTTGTTTCTTAATACAACGTATTAAGTGATTGAAACATTTAATCTGTTTCCCCCATTAGTGAAGTTTTACACAAAAACAGTTCTTGTCGAAATTTCATTGTTATGATACCAGCTGAATAGGGATGAAATAGCACAGAAAAATAGAGCTTCGTTTTCTCTATCACCTCATAAAAATAGAAAATTTCATCAAGCCTTCTATACGAAATTGAGATGCGGCCGCCACTACTTTTGGGTTCCCCTAAGTATTTTTAAAATATTTTAACCCTTCGTGGTTGTCCTGATTTTTGTACTTCGTAGTTGTCCTGGGGTCCGCCTGGACCCACCTATAGAAAATTACAAAAAAAACGATTTTTTCCTTTCTTCAAGCGTTTCATTTGACTTATATGAAGAGGTGGAGATCTTTCTTTATAAAAACTAATGAGTCAACTCTCGTGAAAACAATGTAAAGATGTATGATATAGCAAAAAATTACTTCTCTAATCGTTTTTATAGCAACATTGATAATAGCTGGGAAAAGCATAGAATATATCAATCTAGTCTAGATGATAGGGTTCTACGCGTACGTTGTTATATATATAATCAATTGTACAATTGAGAAAGCAAGAAACTTTTCTTTTTGAACTATAGCTACTTTTATCTTTCTCTTTATTATTAGAAAAAGCAATAAAAATTCAGTTTTTTTTTATCAAACTGATGATATTGTTTGTATATAAATCTTTTTTTTTATAAATGCAAAGTATACTCTAATGTTTTTCCATGCATGTTTGACAAGTTACTGCTGTGACACTGGTGGAAGAGACAAACAAACATTTTGACCACAGTTGGAACATGTTTGTCGAACTTTTCGTCCTGGTTGAGCTGGACATAGGAAACACTTTTTTGGCTTGATGAATTTGGATGTTTTGGCTAACATCTTTGATGCTCTCTGAGTGAACCTGATAACCTAGTGAGAGCAACGCCAGTTTGACTTTAGGCATAAGGCGAACTTCTTGACTACGGAGACGATTTTGTGCATCTGTCAAACTTTTGCTCAATTGCTTTAAAAACGTATGTAACATATAAGCCAACCAAAGTAAATCATTTAAAAAAAATTGTGAATCAACAGATGGCAGCTTTATCAAGACGAAAAATATGCTGGTAACAGCATAGTTGTCGTAGGGTCCATCCGGACCCACAGCTGCATTTTTCATCTGCTAGGCTTATCGTTGATTTCTAATAAGGATGTTGTAGACCAACATAGGACTAGAGATTAGATAAGGGGACTGGCCAGAAACAGAAGCTCTTGATGTAGTATTAAATAAAAAACTGTGAAATGGGTCCGCGCGGACCCCACGACAACCACGAAGGGTTAATAAACGAATTTTCAACAAGTAGATGCCAAGCATTTAATTATCGATGGTTTTTTGATTACCAAACACTTAAGAAGACAATCGTATTTTGAAATGAATTTATTGGTTATCTGTGTCTGTTTATATAGTAATGGTTAGTGATTAATAAAAAAAAAACAAGAGATAGAATTATTTTCAGTTGGAAATTTCCAACGAGAAAATATTTTATCGTTCGTATTTCTCCCACTCACTGAGATTTAGTAATGTGCTATGCTGTTACATGTTTTTTTCTTTCTATTCTGTTCTAAACTGCATTTTTGGCGATGATCATAGATCTACATGCATATATATGTATATACGTATGTTCTCTTTCATGTTCGGCTGACTCATGTTCTTCTCTTCTCTTCTTTACATTGTTTTCTCCTTTCTATTCTCGTCAAATCAATACACTGAGTAATAGACCATTGCCTCACAATTGTCTATTATGTATTTCGTAATAGGTGACGTCAGATGCAAACAAGTTTAGATACAATAAAACTTCATTCAGAATATTTTCATGATGTTAGTGATACATGTAAACTCGTTTGTTAATTGTGATTGAAAAAGTCGATTTTATTGTTGACTCATTCGAAAATTCTTCGCTGTCTAACAGATATAAAATCTGCCGCTAAAATAGAAAATTTTCTCACGGTAAAATTCGATTAAAAAAACAATTTATTTCAGTTTAACATGTACATTTAAAAAAACAAACAAACAAATATGATCACTTAACCTATTGCAACTTCACTTAAGAAAAACAAAATAAATGTTTACTTGGGCACATTTCTCTAAGATCACAATCCTAGTTGAATTATTGATGAATATATCTTCTTTAATCCTCAACAATCTAATGGCTATATATATACGACGATAACAGGAGGGAAAAATTCATAAAACAAGTTGTAATAATGAAGAATAGAAGATAAGGAAAAGTCCAGCATACATAAATGACAGGAAGAAAAAATCCAAGGCACATAACTAACAACAATAAAAAGAAGAAGAACCTATATGCATACATATGATCATATAGAAAACGAGGAAAAATTCTTACGATCGCATCTGAATTAGATGTAAGTCATAACAATATCTATTATTCAAATATGTTAAAGGTTCTAAAATGAACAAATAGATAACACAAAAACGAGAGAAGAGAAAGATTTTTGAGTGGGTAAGGATTATCTTATTCGTCATTGTCTCTGTGACTATATATTAGTCATCCCAGTCATCATGTACGCACACGTACATGCAACAACAACTTTAGGCAGTAGATGATAGTGACACTCTCATCTAGACACGGATGATTCTTTCAGAAGTTTAACGAAAAGAAAAGAAAGCAGATAGATGGAAAATCTTGTCGATACATATATAAATAAATCAAAATTCGTTTGAAAAACTGTAAAATTTTTCCTAGAATGGAAAAATATTCTTTCAAAAAATTTTCCTAACTATCAGTAACTTTTTAGAAATTTCTCCAATCGGCCGGTCGCGCACGCAGGTAGATCCTTCACTTCTACTGTCTAATCAATGTGATAATAGTGCTATGATCATGATGAAATTATCTAGTACACATGCTTTTTGGCTGATCATTTAAAACAAATAGATATGGAAACTAAGTTACGTAAAATTGAAAGAATACTTCCTAAACTATCTAAATGGTTCTGTGAGAAAGTTGGATAAAACTTTTATACAAAAAAAGACTAGAAACAACTAACAAAAATAGCTTAAATACTTGTCTGTGCATGCTCAAAACGACTATGAATACGTTCAACTTTCATAAATGCATCTCAATAGAAAATATTTATGAAATTTATGAAGATCTTTTATGTAGAATTTTAAATTATTTTGGCGAAATTGTTTAGAAAAAAAAACCGCATATATTAATAATAAATCATTTTGATACATTAGAAAAATTTGTTAAAGAATTAGATTCGATCTTCGATCAAAACAATTTCTAGTATTAGAATTAAAACTCTTCGAACGTATTATGCTACATTGGAAAAGTTATTATTTGAATAAATAAATGAATCAAGAAGAGATGCTGAAGTATACTTTTACGAGTTTTATTTTGATGAGAAGAAAAAATAAATTATAATCAACTCAAAGAATGTCTATTGAATGTAAATGGTGTAGATAGGATAGAGGAATATCGAACTGCAGTTTATTCAGAAGTAATGAATAATGTTGTACAACGCATTATTCAACAAATCAAAGAACGAAAAGAAAACAGCTATGGGTGTGGGTGTGGGTGTGGGTGTGGGTGTGGGTGTGGGTGTGGGTGTGGGTGTGAGCGTGGGTGTGAGTATGGGTGTGGGTTAAGATCAGAGCAACACTGTAACCACACCCACACCCATCCCACACCCACACCCACACCCCACACCCACCCACATCCACATCCACACCCACACCCACACCCTTCAAAACTCTAGAGAACAGGAAAAGCATCTGAAGTCAAAGAGAAATCTTGTTTATTTGGTTAATGTTTTCTTTCTTGGCTAACAATGAAGATAAGAAATATTCAAGATTAAGAACCCAGAAAAAAATCGACACAATAACGAATATAAAAAATGAAAGAAATATTATCAGGGAAAAAATAACTAAACTTTTCTCCGACGGATAAAGTCACATATTTGCTCACCCCCCTGAAAAGCATATTAACGTTAACCAGAAACAAGAAACCGATATGATTGGTTATCCAAAGTGAGGACGACCGAAGCACCCATCGTTTCTCAAAATACGTGACGGGTCAAATTGAGGAGTACCGAAGCACCCATCGTTTCTCAAAATACGCGACGGGTCAAATCGAGGAGTACTCAACCACCGTCCTCCTCGAGCAATTTCAGGCGATGAACTACTACTTTCACTGGAAGAACTGGAAGATTCGGAAGGACCTAAAGTAAGGTTCTCTGGTTTGCTAGCCATTTGTACCGAACCAGATGGATACTCTAATTTTAAGAAATCTTTAATAACAGATTTCACATAGTGCTGACAATTATTCGACCACAAATCATAGATTGTATTTTGAGAGCGATGCTCGTCAACATATTTTTTAATTTGTTCTTTACTTTTCGATGTAATGCCAACTGGTTTATAATAGATACTATAATTACAAAGATATATACATATATACATGCAGTAAAGAACACATTTTTTCGTTATATACGTACTTTCCACGGAAAAAATCATATTTTCCAAATGTTAATTTAACTCTGGGCCCAATTCCAGACAAGGAAGACGAGGTGGACGTTGAAGTAGCACTTTCATCAGCATTTGTTAATTCTGTATAATAGAAATGTCCTTTTGACGTTTTGAATATCAGCTGATGATGAGATACAATATCATCGTCAGTGTATTTGTGTCTTCCTATAATTTTATAAAGGATAAAGACTTTGAGAGACATTTCAAAGATTTTCGATTTCAATACACCAGCAACCGGATGTCTTTATACTTTTGACTAAAATTTTTTTGAACTGGATTTCTGTAGAATAATTTGAATATTATTAAATTAAGAACCAAGAGTGTGTGTTTGTGGCTTGTCTAACGTTTTTGCGTCGTACGTAGCACTGATGTGTTTCTTTCTCTTATATACGAAAAATTATGACTCATAAATTATATGATATAGATATCTCTTTTCTCTGGGATTTTTCCCTTTTTCATTGCACCAATAAGAGAAATCGCATAAGAAAAGGAGATATCCAGTAAGAATCATGAGTCAACTATATTTACTCAGGAAAAGGTGGTGTTGTCATTGTTAGCGTTTTGTCCTTGTGGATCAACGCTAAGTTCGTTCTCTTTCTTTTAAAATATATGTATGTGTGTGCGTATGTGTGTACTTGCACACGATGTTTTATTATCTGTTAAAACGATGGAAAAACACGTACATATATATGAATGCGAAGAAAGAAAAGAAAGAGAACAAAGACAAGATATATGGATAACACAGGAGAATACTAGATATATCGGTGAGAAAGAAATAGAAAAAGGAATAAAAATATGAAATGAAAAATAAGAATAGCTGACGAGCTGTATCAGTGAGACATCACTGTAACATACTCCCCTATTGAACAAAACAATGTGTCCTATCAACATTTTTATAATAAAGTAACAGATATAACGAGATATACAATAGCGAGGAACACGAGAAAAAAAAACAAAATAACGATGAATAGTCTACCCGCAAATAGGGATGAATCATCGAATCATTATCAAATCGTCAACATACTAATGCACTAGGTGGTGCTAGTTGTCTGTACATTTTTTCCAAGGTTCTCTTTAACACCAATTGTCACTAGATAGGAGATAGTTGTTGTGATGAACTCGAATTTTTCGGCCTCAGAGCTATTTCTGAGAAAACCATCAACTAACTGAGACCAATAATGAGCCATAGAAGTTAATGACCAATGAGAATAGCGCATAACGGCACTATTGTTATATAATACGCGACGGATTGATCATTATCTCTATATACAATCATGCCGTCAGAAGTGTTACATTGTGTTTTATGTGATCGACAGGAACGACGAGCATGTTAAAAATTTACATCGTTGTAAATGTTGGAAAAATAAAATTAGCTGTATTGTTTACTGCAAATGTAATGTTGATTTCTGTATTAATCAACCAAATACTCAAGTTCGTATAAAAATTATTTTAGAAATTTACTTTTTTTTTCTTAAGAGCATCACATCGTTAACTTCAAATGATTGACTTACCGATGATAATAGTGATGATATACGTTCAACAGATGCATCTGTATAAAGTGATAGAGTATGTGATAATGATTCATTTATATCAGACTCAGACAGCATCTATAAT